TTTCTTGTTTTTTAATGTATTTATCACTATGAACTTTCCTCTTAGAACTGCTTTTATTGCATCTGTTAAATTTTGGTATGCTGTTTCTATTTTCATTTATCTCAATATATTTTTAAACTTCTCTTTTGATTTCCTCTTTGACCCATTGGTTATTTAAGAGTATATTATTTAACTTTTACCTGTTTTTGGATTTTTCATCCTTTTCTCCTATTACTAATTTCTAGTTTATACTATTATAGTCAGAAAAGATACTTGATAATGATTTTAGTATTTGTCAATTTGTTAAGACTTGTTTGTGATCTAACATGATCTGTCCTGGAGAATGTTCCATGTGTGTTTGAGAAGAATGTGTATGCTACTGCTACTGGATGAAATACTGTGTGTCTATTAGATCCATTTGCCCTAAGGTATGGTTCATGTACATTATTTCCTTACAATTTTTCTCTGATTAATCTATCCATTGTTGAAAGTGAGGTAATGAAGTCTCCTACTATTATTGCATTGTCATTTATTTCTGCTTCAGATTTGTCTAATATATTTAGTGCTCTGATGTTGGTCTATATATATAGATAGATAGATAGATATAGATATCTATATCTATCTATCTATATCCATAATTGTTATCTCCTCTTGATGAACTGACTCCTTTACCATTATATAATGACCTCCTTTGTCTCTTGTTGCACTTTTTGGGTTAAAGCGTATTTGTCTGATACCAGTATAGCTATCCTTGCTTTCTTTCAGTTTCTATTTGCATAGGATATCTTTTTCCATCCCTTTATTTTGAGCTTATATATATCCTTAAAACTGAAGTGAGTATCTTATAGTCAATATATAGTTGGGTCTTGTTTTTTTTAATCCACTCAGCCACTTGATGTTTTTGATTAGAGAATATAATCCATTTACATTTAACATAATTATTGATGGATAAGGACTTATTATTGCTATCTTATTGTTTTAATTGCTGTTTTTTTGTTCCTTTGTTTCTTCCTTTCTTGTTGTCTTCCTTTGCAATATGATGATTTTCTGTAGTGTAATGCTGTGAATCCTGTCTCTTTATCTTTTGTTTTGCTTTATTGTTTGTTTTGCTTTACTTTTGTTTATCCTAGGTTTTGCTTTGTGGTTACTATGAGGCTTGCATAAAACATGCTTTAGTTATAACAGTCTGTTTTAAGCTTATGACAGGTTAACTTCAATCTCATACAAAATCTCTACCTTGTTACTCCCTTTCCCCACAAACATTCTTTGTTTTTTTATTTCACAATTCAGAATTCACGTTTTAATATTGTATATCCCCTAAGAAATTATTGTAGCTATACTTATTTTTAATACTTTTGTCTTAACATGTATACTATAGTTAAATGATTTATACACCACTATTGTAATATTAGAGCATTCTGAATCTGACTATATACTTACCTTTACCAATGAATCTTATATTTTCATGTTTTTAAGTTACTAATTAGTATCCTTTCATTTCAGCTTAAAGAATTCCCTGTAGCATTTCTTGTAAGGTAGGTCTAGTGGTAATGAAAAACCCTAGGTTTTTTGGGGAAATTCTTTGTGTTTCCTTAATTTGTGAAGGACATCTTTGCTGAGTAAATTATTCTGGGTTGGCAGGTGGTGGTGTACTTGTCGTTTTTTTAGCACTTTGATTATATCATCCCACACTCTCTTGATTTGCAAGGTTTCTGCTGAAAAATCCACTGATATCTTGGTGGAGGTTCCCTTATATGGGAGGAACTTTTTTCAGGGTATCTGTATAAATGTCTACAGACTGAGTAATGCATAAAAGAAAATAGAAACTGGCATGATATGTTTCCTCCTGCTGTTATCCCTCTGGCTTACTTATTCACTTGCTGAAACATCTGCCTAGTCTTCTGGGGCCAGTCCTTGGAAATTTGTTTTAATAACATGTAAGTTGTGCATGTTGCAGTAGTTTCTATCTGGAGAAACAAAGTTGAATTTCTGTTGACAGTTAGAAAAAGCCATTTCTGACCTCCAGAGTGAATAACTCTGGTTGTTTTCTTTGTCCTGATATCTGCTTTGAATAGTATAATATCTTTTATCAGGTCTGCTCATGATGTTTCGGCTACTGAATATCCTCTCTTCTGCTTTGATAGCCAGTCATTCTTTAGTATTATTTAGTCTTACAAGTAAACATTAAGCTCTGTGTGTCAGCCTCTGAAAAACAAGATCCTAACATAGCCACCGTCTTCAAGGATTTCACTATCTAGAGGGAAAAATAGGCATAAAGTAAACTAAAATGTAATGTGTAAGCGTTAAAGAGTGGTGTGATCACAGAGCAGAGATCATCCCACCCTTGAGAGGTATGTGCCTGTTTCTAACATCCTAGTAGTTTTACCGCCCTTAAAGTGTTTATGTTGGGGTTCACAGTTTATATTTGTTTGAGAAGTTAGGTGGGTTGTGTTAAGTGTGTTTAGTTAATGTTTCATGGAGAGACATGATTTCACCTTCATTTTAACCCACATGGCATGTTAATAAGGTATTTTGTCAAGATTAGCAACAGCGTTTTTTGAGGGCTTATTAAACATGCAGGATGCTGAGCTCCATGTTGAGGGCATGCAAAGTTATAAAGCACAGTTCCTCCTTTGAAAAGGTACAGTATCCTTGGGGAAGCAATAATTAGAGAGAGGATAAATATAATACAGCAGCGACTTAAATTTCTGCAGAGTGTTATAGTTTTTAATATACCTTTGCATTTATTCTTTATGATAACCCTGTAAGGCAAGTTACTATAAACACTTTATGATAAGAAAATTCAGTAGTTCTACAATTAATGTGTGGCAGAGACAGCAGTCCAAGCCACCTGACCTTAATCTGCAGCACCTCTTACTTTGACATTGTAAGAACTGAATAGTTCATGTGGAAATCAGAGAATGAGGTTTCACAAACCCTGTCCAGACAGCAAAGAATATTTCAGGGTCTGGTGTGCCGTGAAGAAGTAGAGTCTGGGATGGGCCAAGACTGAATGCTGAGCAATTAGCTGAAAGCCAAGAGTTTGAGTTGAGAGAAGCCCAAAAAGCAGAGTCCAAAGGGAAATTTGAGGTGAGAGCTGCTAGGAGTTTTGTGAAGAGACAAGGTAGGAGAGTTGGGAATTTGTGAGGGTCGTTTTCAGCCTGGCCCAATTTCATACTTCTTTTTGAAGACGGAGTTCCTTCCTTGCTCGTCTTAATGGCACATAGCATTCTGAACCTAAATTTTAACAGGAATAGTAAAGTATGAGGATGTTTATTTGTAGTTTGCATGGATTATACAGTCATATGTTAAGGTTGATGGAAGGCTGGCCCTACTGCATGTATTTTATTTCCAAGGTGTGTATGTTAGATTCTCACTGTTTGGCTTTGTACATTGGTGAAATGTTTTATATCCACCATCTTTCAAGTACTCAGTAGCCACATGTGACTGGTGGTTATCATATTGGACAGAATGGTAAACTTGGATTCTTTTCTTTAAAAAAAAAAATATTTTTAAAAAAATATTTTTAAAGTAACACGTGCACATGTAAAAATATTCTAAGTGTTCAAGAGGTTAAAAATGAAAGTGAAAGTGTCTTCCCCCCACCTTCTTCTCAATTTCTCTCCCTCTTTCCAATGGCATCTACTATTAAAACTTTCTGTTATTTCCTTTCAGGAATAGGAAGGCATATCCATCAAAATTGTATATGTATAAGCTTTTTATAAATTATAAAAATTGACTATAGTAGGTATTCTGTTTCATATCTTTTTGTTTCATATTTTTTTAAAAAAAGTATTATAAAACTCTAAGAGGTCTTGGGTGCCTGGGTGGCTCAGTCGTTAAGCGTCTGCCTTCGGCTCAGGTCATGATCCTGGGGTCCTGGGATCGAGTCCCACATCGGGCTCCCTGCTCGGCAGGAAGCCTGCCTCTCCCTCTCCCACTCCCCCTGCTTGTGTTCCTGCTCTAGCTATCTCTCTCTCTGTCAAATAAATAAATAAAATCTTTAAAAAAAAAAAAAACTCTAAGAGGTCTTGACACAACAATGCATTTAGCTCTACCTATTTTAAAGGTTGCCTAGTGTCCCTTGTTTGGAAATAAAATTTATCAGTTTCCGATTTTAGGTTTTTATGTTGTTTCCTTTTCTTTTCTTTTTCTATTCAAACAGTATTGTGATATATATAGTCTTTGTTTTGTATGTTTGTAGGGAAGAGTCTTAGCAGCGCAATTGCTGGATCAAAGGATAAGAGCACAGCCTCTTTTTTTTTTTTTTAAAGATTTTATTTATTTATTTGAGACAGAGAGAATGAGAGACAGAGAGCATGAGAGGGAGGAGGGTCAGAGGGAGAAGCAGACTCCCTGCCGAGCAGGGAGCCCGATGCGGGACTCGATCCCGGGACTTCAGGATCATGACCCGAGCCGAAGGCAGTCGCCTAACCAACTGAGCCACCCAGGCGCCCAAGAGCACAGCCTCTTAAGAAGGGCTCCTAGTGGTCCTCCACGACAAGTGCTGTTTCTAAGCAAGGAGGGAGTTTAGAATCTGGGGCAAGGGTAGGGCATAAAACACTGGAAGGAAGGGGACTAGACATAAAATAACAGTGAAGAAACTGGCTGTGAGACAAGATGATAAATATCTGTATCAATAGTCTGAAGGGTGGCCTTTAAGTTTAATCAGTACAATTGCTTCTGGGAGTATTTAAGAAAAAAGTTTTAAATGTCAATGTAGTTTGTTGCAATATGTATATATTTTTATAACTGCTATTGTGTTTAATTTTGTTATAAAAATATTGCAATCATAATATATATAGTTTGGAAAATGCAAGTATAAAGCAGAAGACAAATTTCACCCATACTAAGAGAAAACTAATATTAATATTTTTATTTCTTATTTCTGTATATGTAATAGTTTTTACATAGTTGAGATCATATTGTATATACATATGCTTATATTCAAACTTTGCTTATCATCCTGATCTTGTTGATTTAATTTTCTTTTATTATTTTTTGCCTGCCTTTTTTTTAAGGTAATAGAAATCTAACATTGTTTTGGAATGAATTTGGATATCAGAATGACAAGGACATGGAGAAATCTTTAGATTCTGTTCAGTATCAAAGACGACAAGCCATGGCCATCCCATTCATCATTCAGTGTGGTGAGTGTTGAATTAATTCCATTCCAATCAGCAAACATTTAGTGAGTTCCCAATAGCAAGTCATTGTGCTAAAAAGTGGGTTGTGAGAGAGACAGAGGTGGGTAGGACAGGGTGCTTGCTTTCAAGGAGATTAGGGTCTAGGAAAGGTTCAGAAATGCATGAAACTACGTGTAATAGAGATTAAAATTAGGTAAATGAGGTCAAAGAGGCATAAAGTTATTTGAGGAGGTGGTGGGAGTTGAGGCCAGGCTTCATGACAGAAGTACCTTCTTCGATATGGCTGTTTCTCTCCCTTTAGTTGTGGAGTTTGTCCTGCCCATCTTCAGGTCTATGTCTGGGGTATTTAGGATGTTGTGATAGTTATCTAGCGGTCTTCGTGGGACGAGGTGAGCCTGCACTCCTCCAGCTCCGCTGCCATCTTCCTCTACGTCTCTCGAGGTAGAATTTTGAGAGGCGGAGATGTAGTGGGGAGTGTGTGTTAATATCAAGTGTACACTTCAGCTAAAATTTTTGTGATAGAATAATAGACACAGTTATTTTTTATTTTAATACTTAGCACTATGTTAAATATATAGTACTTAGTAATTGACTACTGGATGAATGATGAATGAATAATAAAAGACGAGAGTGTTTATGTTGAGTAAACCTATTAGAGGGCCTCGAATGTCAGAGTAAGGAGTTTTTCCTTTGGTAAGTAATGACAAGGCTTTGGGAGTTTTTCAGTAAGAGAACATCACTCAAGCATTTAGCACTTATGATTGTGTGCCTCCAGTACATCTTCTACCCACCATATAAAGGGTTAGAGAATTAAAGACATTCTCTACTATCTGCAAGGAATCTGCCATCCAGGGGGAAGGCAACCAGGCAAACAAAAAAGCGCACAATAGTAGTTATTTACACAGTGCCTAGGGAACACCTGTCCCACCTTGTCCCTAGGGTGGTCCAAAGAGGACCTGAGCGTCATATGTAACTTGTAGTAAGGTAGTTCTGGCTGCTCAGTGCAGGATGATTTGGAGGAGGGCTAGCGCAATGGTTGAGGTCAGACCTGTGAGGAGATTACTGGCATCATCCAGGAGCCAGGGGAGAAATTGTAAAGGTCCGGAGAAAGTCATGGCTGTGCAGTTTCAGAAGAACCTACATGCCAGACATTTAGAAGGAATAGTTGAGGAAGTTGATGACTATATGCAACAACCTATTGGATGATAACAATGAAGGCTAAAAGTTACTGTGTGTTTTTGATGTGTTCAAGGTACTGCCAGAATCCAATCTCCAGTGTCTGGGAGCTGTATGAAATTGGGCAGATTCCTTAACTTCTTTAAGCTTCAGTTTTCAGACTTATAAAACGGGGTTAGTATTTGTAGCTACATCATACAGCTTTGTGAAAAAATGAATTAACACATGTAAAGTTTACTAAGTGCTTAGGATGGTGTATTAGGGTTTTCTAGAGAAAGAGAAGTCATAGGATGGATGGATAGGTATTAATTCTGGGGAATTGGTTTACATGATTAAGGAAGCTAAAGAGTTGAGAGACCTGCAGTCAGCAAGCTGGAGACCCAGGAGAGCCACTGGCTTAATTTCCAGTTTGAGTCTGAAGACCTGAGGACTGGGAGACCCACTGATGTAGTTCTAGCCTGAATGTTGACAGGCTTGATACTCAGGAAGAGCTGATCTTTTAGTTTGAGTCTGAAGGCAGAAAAGAAATTGATGTCTCAGCTCAAGACAGTCAGGAAGGAAAAGTTTCTTCTTACTTATAGGACAGTAAGCCTTTTTGTGTCTGTTCAGGCCTTCAACTGATTGGGTAAGGCCCACCTATGTTAGGGAGGGTAATCTTTACTCAGTCTATCAGTCCAAATGTTCTCATCCAAAACACCCTCACAGACACACTCAGAATAATGTTTGACCGGATATCTGGGTAACCCATGGATCAGTCGAACTGACACATAAAATTTACCATCATAAATAATGCCTAGCTTTTATCATTATTATGCCATTTAATCCTCAACGATCCTTTTAGGTAAGTGCTAATATTAATCTCTTTTTACAGATGATGATACTGAAGCATAGAGAAGTACTTTATCCAAGATCATAGAGGTAGTAACTGGTAGAGCTATTCCAGTTCTTAGCTACTGTGACTTCAACACTGTGTGTTCTTTTTTTTTTTTTTAAAGATTTTATTTATTTATTATTTGACAGAGAGAGACACAGCGAGAGAGGGAACACAAGCAGGGGGAGGGGGAGAAGGAGAAGCAGGCTTCCCGCGGAGCGGGGAGCCCGATGCGGGGCTCGATCCCAGGACCCTGAGATCATGACCTGAGCGGAAGACAGACGCTCAACGACTGAGCCACCCAGGCGCCCCAACACTGTGTGTTCTTAACCAATGTGCATACTGCCTCGATCTTAGATGAACAGAGAGAATGTTTACCTAAGAGCCAGTAGCTGTGTATGTGGATAGAATTCAGGATTAGAGTTGAGAATAGCCTGGAGAGACTGGAGTGCCTTGGTTCTACAGGCAGGGAAGGAATGAAAGGAGGAAGTAGACAAAAGAAGTCACAAATCGTAGGATGGAGGGTGGGGTAAGAGCAGGAGACAGGTGCAGAGTGTGTAACTGTGTAAATGGTTCAGAGAGCTTGATTTTCCTTGTTATGTTAGTCAGGTGGTTGGAGATGGAAAGTGGTGTTGGTAGCAGAGGGATCGTAGGTTGGAGAAAATGGAGGAGTCGAGTCACTAGAAGTCTTCCTGTGGTTCAAGAAGAGATGTGGAGGGACCTAACCCAACATTCTTCTGGCTGAAATGAGCAGGAACCAACTGGAAAGAACTTCAGCAATAACAACAACCATAATAACAACAATTTATTGGTGGTGTCTTGGGGTAGCTCATAGAATCTTAGACTAGTTGTGCCGTCAGTTATAAAGGTATGTGATTATGGATTCACTTGTCTCTGGATCGAAAGATACATATACTTTTGGTATGTGCAATCTGACATGTTACTTGCTATGTTCACTTCTGACTGTGCTCTTTCTTGTGTGTGATTTTGTTTTCATTATCAGATCTTTGCCTTAAATGGAGAATCTTGCCTTCTTCTATTACTTATCAGGAAAAAGAATTTTTTGACCTCTGGATTTGTGCTAATAATCCTAACCCCTTGGAAAACAGGTAGTTTTTGATAGTTTTCTAAAATTCATTATCCATTTTTAATTCCCAAAATGCATTTGTGTGAAACTGGAAATGTCAGCGATAGATACATTTTAGCTTAATAGCGGTCATCCTTGTGAACTCTTTCTAGCTCCTTACCACCTGTGGAAATATTCTTCGTTAGTCTGCTTTCCCATCAAGATAAAGGAGCCCTGCATGTAATTATCTGCAAACTTTGGGATGTGCAGCTCTGTGCTTCCACTGGCAGGAGACCATGACCCAGTGTTGGAGTTCTGCCTTCTAGTTCATTTTCATACAACATACAGCCTTATTGTAAAGGAATCTTATCCAGAGGGTGTCTCCTGGGGCACTAACCTGTTAGATCATGTGCTTTGTCTATTTAAGTCACATATTGATTTCATTGCTTTGTGCTCTTGGAGGAAGAAGTTCAGGCTAAAACAGGAAAAAGACCGATTAAGTATTGATGAATGTCACCGTTATTACAGACCCTTTAGACTTACATTATTTTCCTTGGGAAGGGAAAGAATGAGTATCCCCCCCCCCTTAATGAAGGCACCCCTGAATCAAACATTGCTTCTCCATGGAGTTTGTTCTAAGTTCTTTGGCCTGGATAAGTGGATCAATATGGCTAATACAGACATTAGAGTAATAACTCCTGTTTCGTTATTTTTATCCAGCCCTAAAAAAAAAAAAAAAGGAAAATTTAAAAAAATAAACAGCACAAACACACACCAACATTTCCACCTGGAGTTCCCAAGTTACCCATATTTAGAGACTAAGGAAAATACCAGAGGTGGTAAGGGCTCTTAGATTCCTCACGGCCCAGGGGTTTTTAGTCTTGTTTCTTGGTTTGCAGCAGAACCTGTTTTCCCCAAACACAATTTGTTCAGACCCCAAATACATAAGATAAATGCAGAACTTTCCTGATTAAATTGGAAGCTGAGATGTGTGCGAATCAGACTCCATTTCTCATTTCTGTTCTGTACTCTATAAAAAGCCTAGAGCTCCAGGGAGCATGATTATAAAATACTGATCTAGCCTCACTCCTTCATTTTAGAGAAGTGAAAATTGAAGCCCAGTGGGGGCTAAGATACCTGTTCATGAGGTCTCGGTTCATGCCAAGGTCTCGGAGTCCTAGCTGGGTTCTAGCCCTGGCTTGAAACTTGAGTATCTCCCACATAAGAGCCAAGGGTTGGCTCAGTTTCAATATTAACAATAGTTACTAATATTGATCCCTTCCTGTGAGCTAAGAACTTCTCATGCAGCATTAGAATAGTGTTTAGAAGTCTGATTCTGGGGCCAGACTGCCTATGTTTTTGATTCCCCTGGCTCCATTAGCTGTGAGGTCTTGGATAGGTGACAGAACCTCTCTTTCACTTGGCTTTCTATCACTTAGAATGGGGTGTAATCATAGTACATTTTGCATCGTCTCTGGGTCCAGCTGAGCCCATTAGAAAGACAATTTACTAAGTTTACTAAGTTCCTGGTTACTGGGAGCTTCTTAGTTATAAGACGTGAGAATTTAGGTCCCTTTCCACAGATCTAACATATGTCTGTGACTTCTTAGCCCAGTCTTGGGGCATTCTTGGACCCACAGAACTGGTATCTATCCTCTACGGTTTTCCTTACCTCCAGCTTACCATTGTCCATGAATTGGCACACTCTCACCCTCTCCTCCCTGAAAAGTGGTGATGCGATCACAGAGCACTGCAAAATTAGTTTCAAAGCTGCATCAATTCTGTCTCTTTTACACATCCAAATAGTGCCCCTGGTGATGACAGGCAAGAGAAATTTAGCCACGTCAACAGAAAACTGATGGTCCTTCAAAGCTTAAAATGCAGAGTTGTCTTATATTTTAAGTCCTTGATTCTTGAAATATAATGACATGATTCTGACCAGGTGTATTTCATTTCCACTGAAAAGATTAGGACAAAAAAATATGCTTAATGTGACAGCAAGAGATTTAGGGGACGTGTAAAGAAAAACTCCTGATTATGAGGGCACTTACTTGAGAGTTGATACTTCCCTTATTGGAGGTCATTGCAGCTCTAATTCAGTATGGTAGGATGGACCGTGTGTACATTGACAACATGCCATGAAATAGCAAGACCTTATGCCATTGGATTCGGATAGAATCCCATAAAATCAGTGTATGAAAGTGATGAGAAATACAGTATAGTTATTAGGCAACATTCAGTGAATGGAAGGCCTGAGTAATGGGGTAAAACGTGGCATTGTCTGTATTTACAGAAAGTATAGTGTTATTGTCAGCAGTTAATTGCCAATTGTCGGCAGGGTTAACACGAATGAACAGCATTTAAATGAACAATGTCTGTGTAACCAGAACTTAGGCAGGAAACATAATAACAGTTTTCTCTTACACAGCAATTACATACGTTATCTCATTTCCTCTTTACGATAACCATATGAACTTGCATCGCTTCTCAGAGGGGGAAGCAGTGAGGCCAGGAGGGGCCCAGTGACTTGTCCAAGATGCCTCCCTAGAGCTGAGACTTGAAGCCAAGCCTTTGGCTGCAAACCTGCGCTCTTTCTGCCTTACCACACCCGGTGTCTGAAGGCATCCTCTTTGTGTGTGTGTTTTAAATTTTTTTATTCGACTGTAGTTGACACACAACGTTACATTAGTTTCAGGTGTACCACACAGTGATTCAGCATCTGTATATGTTGTGCTGTGCTCACTGCAAGGGAACCTGCCATCTGTCACCATGCAGATGCTTTTACAGTATCACTGTGTTGCCGATGCTGTGCCTTTTATCCCGGGACCTGTTCATTCCATAGCTGGAAGCCTGTATCACCTGATCCCCTACCCTCATTTTGCGCATCCTCCTACCCCTTTCCCTCTGGCAACCTCTGTATTAATAAGTCTAATTCTGCTTTTTATTTGTTTATTCATTTGTTTTGTTTTTTAGATTCCGAAGGCCTCCTTTTACATTTCAGGAAGCCTCATGCCAGTCATATGCTCTGTGGTGACAAAATGCACCATCTTACAAATGGTAGTATTATTCTGAGCTGGTCACCCAGGTAGGGTAAAATGAAGCCATTCTTCTTTGGACCACCAGAGCATTTTTTTCTTTTCCACTTTAAACACAGAGGGAGGCTAGACATTTTTTATCACGGTACCTGAGAAATAGGTATCAACATACTTCCACTACATCCATGCTCTGCGTTTATCTGCATTTGGAAATAGGGATCACCAGCAGGGTAAAAATGATGCCTATCATTTGATAAAACCAAAAAAGTCTGAACTGTGAAAAGGATGTTTAAAATCTCCATGGGTCGTATTGCAAGTTAAAATCTTTAAAGATCATTGAATGGATTGTGTGTTTTATTAAAATACTTGAGGTTTCTCTTTTTTGAATAAAAACTTAATGTTTTTAAGTTAATGTTCATTTTATAGGTACCACCCCACAGATGTCTTCAAATCCATACTGCAGGTGGCTGTATTTATAGTAGATGCCCCCTGATTTGTTTCTCTACCACTTTTTTTTTTAAAGTAACAATAACAACAAATACCATATGTGGGTGCAATTGTTTTTTCACAGTCGTATTTGAATCTGATTGTAGCTCCTCACTCTCCTCTCTTGCTAGGGGGAAGGGAAACATACCCAGCAGTCCTGAAAAACAGAAATCATGGGTTTGATCTGCTTTGCTTTTCCTGCACTGGTTCAGAAGGGAGAATGCCCTCTTTCTAGGCTCAACCTCCTCGTCCCTGTCCTAGGTTAACAACACATTTATTTCGTACAAACTTTGTCCCTCCCCCCTCTTTTTGGTTCCAGTCAATAATAGAAAAACCCTTGTGTAAAGCAGGCTCTTAGAACTGACTTTGACCTTTTGCTCCACTCCGGAACTTTCCCAGCCATACCCTGAATAGAGCCACGCCCAGGGGGAGCCGAACTTCTTAACCTTGACAAGCCTTGAAACCAAGGGAAACAATATAATATCTCCATTTTTTGATAGTTTGGCTAACTCAGCTCCCCAGAACATAGCCATGGAACCAAAAGTAGGGGGGAAAAACAAAGGACCTCCAACCTCTTGAGCCATATGTTTCCAAAGTCATTAGTATTTTATGTCACTATAACGAGGGAGGCTCTCATCCACAGTCTGGTTTTTGTGCATCTACATACAGTTCTACGTGGTTATATAGCATGTGGGAACAGCACAGCAGTAAGGCAGGGAAGCACAGAGGCTGCCAGCAGCAGGGGAGAGAAGGATGTGCACCTGCTGCTGCCGGATCATGGGGCTAATCCGTGATGAAGGGCTGCCCGGGGCGCGGTGACCGGCAAGGCTGTCACTGAGCACTGCATCCCATCCCAGGGGTCCCTGCTCTTCACACTCAGCCTTCACAGTGGATCCACGTATTTCAGAAGCAGAATTATTTGGTGTCCTTTACAGAGACCTATAGATTCCTACCTGACATTTTTTGGGGAAAAAATGTTTAGCAATAATGAGACAAGCTTCAATTATCTAAAAGCGTTTTTGCAAAAGGCTTCGTTTCATGATCACGCAGGATAAATGAAGCAGTCATAAAAGAATGAATATATTCTCCCATTCTTGTAAATATACCATCCTCCACATTTTCCCTTAAGCTCTTTTCCATGCGAACTGGAGATTTAACGTCATGTGTTAACCTCAGGTCATCAATACACTGCTCTTCCTTTGTATTCAAGTTTTGGATATAAGGCATAAAGAGTATCTTTTTATAGAAGTAAATCATCTTTTATAGACAATAGTTTTATATTTCTTCCTGACGATGTCTTCTGTTGATTGTGAAGTTGTCATCAGGCAGAACGCCTGCCTTCCATCCCTCTGGGCACCATGAGCTCGGTGTCACCATCAAAAACTGAGAAAGAGAAACAACTTCGAGAGGCGATCCAAAGGTATCACAGTCGACTGGCAGACTCGCAGCCACAGGTGAGCTGTTATTCTTTCCAGAAGCTATTTGAACTCCAGAGCTGTTGGTTTTATGTGTGCGAATCAGCTAATGTGTTTCACCCCTGTAAATTGTGTAGCTTCTTTTTTCCATCCTTTTTTATCACTTTCTTTTAATTTTGGCTCTAAGGACTGTTCTAAGGACAAGTACAAGTGCCCCAGGGGCTCAGGAAGGGAGAAGAATTTAAAAAAAAAAAAAAAGCTACCTGTCATATTTAAGCCCTTCTACACAACAGTGCATGAGAGAAACAGGGCGATTTATTTCCACCCTGCATATTCACAGAGAGCCTTGTATGGGTGACACGGTCAAGACTGGGACATGAGTCGGTATGTTTCCAAAGGCTAGGCTCTTTTTATTTCATTGGGCTTCCTCCCTGAGGGTGGATTTTTGAGGTGAAGAGTTGTTCTTTTAAAAAATATTAGCCTATTAATACAGAAAGTCAGTGTCACTTAATTGTTAAGAAAATTCAATAAATAAAACATAACTATCAGTAAATATAAGTAACCATGACAATTTCAAGGGAAAGAAAAAGTGGTGTGCAGAAATATTGTTTTAATTTCTTAACTAATAAAGTAATTAGATCTCTGTTTACTTTATAGATTTAATACCCAAATTCAGCAGTTTTGAACTGGAGAGCCTGTCAGCTTCCTCAAATAGAACTTGAGGAGGTCAGCAGCATATGTCCAAATGTGTTGACTCCTCTGTAAATGTCAGGAAATAAAATACTTGAATAGAAAATTCTCCTATGGAGCAGGGATAAAGATTCTCAGGCTTAATACCTTATTGTTATTATGTGTATTCCTGTGCTTTTAGATCAACTTTCTTTTCTATCTCATTTCTTTTTGCCTCTCCCACTTTGCTAGGGATCTGCCAGGCAAGTCAGCACCACTTGGGATTACAGGCAAGGAAACCTGACCCTCGTTTTTAGTCTGGAGTCTCTGGGTCTCTGGGGAAGACACTGAGAGTCACTTCGCAAACACATTCTCTTAAGCATTCCCCGTCCCCCCTCCTCCCCCCCATTGGTGAAACTTTCTATAGTTCTTAGAGCCTCTAGTTGTGGGTTTGATAACAGAGGTCAGAAGTAAGGGTATCACAGCCTGCAGTTTCTTTAATAAACAAGCAGGTAAAGTCAGATCTTTCCAAAGTGGAATGTCTTCATTTGTTTTTTTGCTTCTTGTTTGCCACTCCCTGTAGATTTGCGAAGGCAGACAGTGTCTCCTGAAATGCCTCTGTCTTTGTTGCAGTCTCTGAATGCTTTTTTCTTTCCTTTGGAGGTCAGAGCTGACCCTTGGATGGTAATAGTGCCAATCACAAAGTTTTTGATTACCTTTTTGTTTGTTTAGTATTGGGTGTTTTATTTATTACTAAGGTAGAGATTTTGATGGTAGCTGTTGGGGTAACCTATTTGGGCCATCCGTTCTGCTTATTCTTTCTTTCATGGTAGTTGAGTTTTTCATAAGCCAGGTTTATAGATTCAGTCTGTTTGACGTATAAACAAAGAAGTTTAGCAGTCCTTGCCTAGAGACTAGCTCCCATCAGTTCAAAGGACCTAGGAATCCTCCCCCTCCTCCCTTGCCCCCTTTCGTGAAGGTAGGTAATCCTAGCATCTTCACCTCCCAGTACTCAGTGCCCTTAACTGACCCTAATTCTGTGGTCATCAAGGAAAGCTTTGTTTAGAGTTTGCTAACCATAGGCCATCAGTTAATTTTAAGGTGGTCATTGAGCACATACTTGCCTTTGGGTCTGTCCCATGCTGAGCATTGCAGGGAAGACGGAATCACTCTCATACCACAGTGTGAGCTCTGTGAGTGCAGGGATAGTCTTGGTTTGTTCAATGTAAATCTGTTACCTTACACAGTGCCTGGCAAGCAGTAGATACTCAGTAGTTGTTGGGTCAATAAATAGAACATGCATTCAGATAATAAACAGTCCTTTCGTGGACCAAGCCTAACAGTATTTGAAAATTAGTGACCACCGCCACGCGATACTAGTTCAGTATCTGTCTGATCACAACTGAAACCACCAGAGCTGTTTATTACACGGAGAGAGTGAGGGCAGCTTTAGTCAAAAAACGGCTTCACAGAAGAAGTGGCATTTACCTTGTGTCTTGAAGTCTATTTCGGGGAATTGGGAGAAATGACAGGGTAGGCATTATAGGTGAGAAAAACATTATAAAAGAAGACTTGGAGATCAGCACTGATTTGTTCCTTCACAGTGCCAATCCTTTAAATTACATGCTAAACTTACGTATTTTAAAAAAATAGACTCAGCATCTGTGTGACATCTCTGTTTCAAAGACCATGTAACTCATTATAAAATATGTTAATTGTTGACTAGTAGACCTCTGGAAGGTGACCTCAATCCCCCTTTCACAAAAATAACCCATGAAAGTATTCAAAAACTGTATTTTGGTGATAGCTGCCTGATGCCAGAAACAAGACTCAAAACCATCCAGTATTCATTGTGAATTTACTCTCTTCCTGACTGCCCTTTAAAAGAAGCTCTATTGGAGTACAACCCAGGCGGGGCTGGGAAAGCCAGAGAAGGAGGGCATTGGTGCCCTGTAGGTACCGTGCAGACATGATCAGGTGCAGGGTAGATACCACTGGAAAATTGGGAACTGGCTAGTGTGTGACCATGATTCACTGTGTCTACTGGTGGTGCCCATTCTCCCAATATCCAGAAATAATAAGGTGCTTGCCATGGAATTATGGTCTGCCCCCTCTGGTTCTCTCTCCCTGCCTCCCTCTGCCAGTGCCTACTTACTTATCCATTGACTAGACTGGGAAACAAATATAAAAATGACCTAAACCTGCACATCCCATTTCTTACTCTCTCGTATTTCATCTTTCATGGCTGAAGGCATCCTGATCTGGGAAATGACTACGTTCATCAAAGACCTTTCTGGATCTTAGATTCTGTGGTTCTGGGCTTTGTGTTACAGACAAGCAGGAGTGACGGAATAATGGTAGGAGAGAGAGTATTATGGTAGCAGTATGTGAAGTCGGCAGCTGCAGCCTCTTCTCCACCCCTCACGCACCCTGCTGCTGTGTCCAGTGACTAACTTCTAGGAGCACCACCTACCTGATGCTCTGGTTAGACAGTGCTTACGGTGAGTCAGGGAGCTGTTCTGGTGAAAGAGGTATCTCAGTGGTTAGATCTGGTCCTCTAGGAGAAAATGAGGTAGGTAGGTCCAAAGCTGTCATTTCCACAGATGGTATCTTATGTAATCCCCAAAACAGAACAGTTACATCAGTTATAGCAAAAGAGGGAAGTAAAGTTCAAAGATGTTAAGTAACTTGAATCAATCACGTTTTTAAATGGTGAAGTTGGAATTTGTTTCCTTTTTGTCTAATTTCAGCACGGATCTGCTCACAGTCTCATAAGGATAAATACAGAAAGGACCTAAGAACATTTACAAAGGCAACAAACCAATACACTGCAAAACCTAGTTGTTAAGGAAAATAGTGAAGTTCGGTAACCCAATAGGAGAGCTCAATTTCAAGATGTAATTGATAAGCAACCCAAGACCCTATCTATAAATTGTGCTTCTGAAACAGCCCATTCCCCAGTCTTTCTGCTTTCTGAAGAGATGAATGAATAATCTGTTCCTCGCTCCACATTTCAAATTCATTCCTCAGGACCTGCTGTTTTCTATATCGAGTGACAAGTGCCACCTGCTGGCCACACGATGAAGCATTTTCATTTTCATTGTGTCACTCTTGACTGCTCAGCTACTAAGTGGCCCATTACCTGGATAATTGTTATTCTGTTTTTCAGTAAACCTAAACAATAATTTTAAAACCATAGAGTAGAGTTACCAAATCAATTTCTCTGCATTCCAGGAACACTCCAGTCCTCAAATTTGCCCTTTTCTCAGTTTTAACTCACGACTTAGATTCTCATCCACCTTCTATTGTACGACAAGGATGACTGCGTCATAATCATGCACATGGCACATAGTTTAGGTGCATCTCGTTCAGGGTGTTTTGGTACCACTTTAAATCCACTTAAAGCCCTTAGTCATTATAAAACAGATCATAACTTGATTCCCTGAATAAAGCCTACTCTCTTACCCATTTCTCCAGAAGTAATGTTATGGGTACATATTTATATAATCCTGCCTGTACACGGTGTGCTGTATCACTTATGTATCCTCTGAGTCTCTCTGGGTTCATCTTTTCTGATTAATATTTCTTTTTTTTTTTAACATTTTTTTTTTAAAGATTTTATTTATTTATTTGAGAGAGAGAATGAGATAGAGAGAGAGAGCATGAGACGGGGCAGGGTCAGAGGGAGAAGCAGACTCCCTGCCAGGACTCCAGGATCATGACCTGAGCCGAAGGCAGTCGCTTAACCAACTGAGCCACCCAGGCGCCCCCTGATTAATATTTCTTATCCTACAGTCTGGGCTCTCTCTAATCCGCTACGGTTTGCCTTTCTGGCATTACAGTGGGCCCTTGAACAACACGGGTTTGAACTGCGCAGGTCCACTTCTGTGGATTTTTTTCCCCCCGATAAATACAGTACAGTATTGTAAAAGTACCTTACGATGTTATTAATAACATTTTCTTTTCTCTAGCTTACTTTATTATGAGAATGCAGTATGTAATCAATCTAACATACAAAATAAGTGTTCATTTGACTGTTACGAGTAAATCTTCCGGTCCACAATAGGCTATTAATGGTCAAGTCTGGGGGGAGTCCAAAGTTGTATGCAGATTTTCAGCTCTGCAAGTGTTGGGGCCCCAATCCGTATGTTGTTCAAAGGTCATCTGTAGTGTCTTCCCCTCTGCAGGAATCTCCCTGAGCCTTGCCTTATTCCTTAGGTGTGTTCTCCCTCGCCCTGCTGTTCTGAGTGCCTTTGTTCCTTCCATTGTGTCTGGAGCGGCCTCTTTCTCTTTTCCCTTTCTTCAAGATCCAAAAATAATGTCATTCCTGTATGAAGTTTTTTCTCATTCCCTACCTGTGAAAATGTTGT